CTGCGCCTCCTGCAGCCTCTTCGCTTCGTCTTGGGAAACGCCATAGCCAGTGCCCAGGAGCTCAGCATCGACGTCATGCAGCACGGATGTTCCGCCTGCAAGGAAGTAAGGGTGCGCTGGCTTAGAATTTGATGTGAACCCCACAAACTCGAATGGGTCATCCCGGGACGCCACCTGCACCACAGGATGGAACCTTGGGACCACAAACAGGTCTCCCTTCTGAACCTCCTCCTTGATCGCCGATGTCCCATCGGGAAAAACCACTTGTATCAATCCGCGGCCTGCGGTGACCATACCCACCTCCATCGCATCGGGGTTCCAGTGTGGCAACAACATACCTCCCTGGAATCAATCACACCCACAACATGGCGAATCGAGTCAGCCACCCCACAGTCACATTCTACCTAAGAAAAATCCCACTAGAAAAGAAACTTCCCACTAGAAAAACTTCCCATTAGAACAATCCGGCTAAAACAATTTCACAATAGGACACATTCCCGCTACGATAATTCCCACTAGACCACATTTGCAAGTGGCAACAGCATACATCCGTAGAATAGACTTTGCATTTCCTGATCCGAATGGAATGAAAACCACACAACAGATATGGGTCAAATGCAGTGACTGTCCCCCTCTGCGACCCCGCACCTGCTCTGAAAATGATAATATACCGTCCAGAAATCCCCCCAACAAACATGGCGGCGGTCTCATCAAGGGTAATTTACAGCACAAAAAACTGCACCTAAAACTCGAGCAACCCTCATCAAGGTTAACTTATAGCACATAAAAGAGCCGCAACTAAAACTCCAGCAACAGTGCAACCCCCATCATGCGAAAAGGATTTAAGGTCCAAAAGTGGCTCAACAACACAAAAAAAACAAAAACAAAGAACATGCCCGAGAGCGAGTTAAAACCGAGAGAATGACCAGACTCGTTGAAGGATTTTCTTTTGTTTTTCAACGTTTTAAATTTGGGAAAGTTGGGAATGTAGCCGGAAGTCAAGACGACTCCCACACTAAAAAAAAAGAGAAGGAAAAAGAAAAATAAAAAAAAGACCCCAGAACTTCCAGAAGAGGTCCCAAAAAAAAAAAAAAAAGACGCCAGAAGGTCAAAAAAAGACCAAGCCGTAATAAAAAACACACACGGACACCAGTAGGGCTAGCTCAGTTGGTACGCCCACGAACTGTTAAAAAAAAAGACCTCAATTCGAATTCCACTCAAACTGAAACGAGTAACTAACTCTAAAAAATTCACCTGCGGCTGGCCTCTTTGAAGATGAAATCTCAAGGACATTGCCACTCTTGGGACAACACAAGATAGGCCAAAAAAAAAAAAAAAAAAAAACAAACAAACAAACGTAACCACATTCTTGATCAATAAAGAGGGTCGTCACACCACTGTCGGAAGGCGAAACAATTCGACGGCTGTAAATTCAAGTTCTTATTCAACAGCCTCCCTTCGACAGTTTGCCTCCCCCTTAAACCACACAGCAATTTACAATGGACGCACTTGTAAGAAATGCAAGATGGACAAACGAACTTTCCTTCGTCGTAAAAGGGATTGGCATTTCTTTAATAACGTTGTATTTCAATCAATCAAGAACGTGTGTTTTGTTCTGCGGTTGCCTAACTCGTCTTTTTCTTCAGAAGAAAGAGGCACTTATAACCTATTTCGAAATAATTTCAATTTCCATTCTTCGAATCTTGATCAATCGCGCACATGGACACTATACAAACGACGCCCACTTACACCGCTCACGAAACAGAAACGCTTACACCACCACCACTCAATTACGAGTACCGTAGTACGCTCGACTCGGCCCGCCCGCTGCTTCCAAGCCCACCTCCTGGTTGTAAATTGCAATTGCTCGATCACTTCCTTTCCCACTAAGTGATTGCTTTAGGACCTTAGCCTACGATCTGGGCTGTTCCCCTTTCGACTTGTGGTACCACGGCACCTGTGCTGTTTCATCCTCGCGTTCGTTGGCTCGCCAGTGTAGAGATAAAATTCATGGACCTTACTACCTTAGCACCCAAAGTCGTCTGTCTGCGCGATGCTCAGTTGCAAGTATTCAGAGTCTCCTTGGGGTTGGTCAAGCTTCGGGCCACTCAGTGCAGCGTCGATGTGTGCGATTGATCAAGATTCGAAGAAGAATACAAATTGAAATTATTTCGAAATAGGACGTCCAAGTGCCTCTTTCTTCTGAAAAGAAAAGACGAGTTAGGCAACCGCAGAACAAAAAGCCTCTTTCTTCTGAAAAGAAAAGACGAGTTAGGCAACCGCAGAACAAAACACAGGATCATCATCCGAAAATCACCAGCAGCGCAGTCAAATTACGATTCAATCCGGACAGGGTTTTTTTTTTTTTTTTTTTTTTTTTTTCTTGTTTGGAGAGGTAGGTACGTTAATTGCGAAAGTCACACAAATACAAGCAGATTCAACTCGGCAATTTCCCGGGGATTCGTCCCACTCACGTGCATGGGGTTCAGACTTGCTCGCTGCACCGGTTTTTGCCGTCCGATCTGAATATCTTACGGCCACCCTGCCGCCACGTTGAAAAACAATCAAGCAAGACTACACCCCTCCCAGTGCTAGTACTACTCAACCCCCCAAACCCGTACCTTTCCACGGGCCTATCTGCCAACGTTCTCATTCTTCCCTTTCCTTTTTCCCTCCCCTCCACAATACAAGAGGTCATGAGAACGAACCCAAAGACATACACACAGAGCGCCCACCC